CACGATCCCCCCGGGTACATTCCCCCACCCCCCCGCGACTTTTTCCCCATGCCCTACCATCAAGAATATCATCATCATCAATCTACCCGTGCCCTACGTACCACGCTACCACCCAATCAATAGTAGATAGGATCGCTCCGCCCTCAATTTACATCAAAATTCATTTTATTTATTTCTAGAACCCATTTTGATTTTTTTGTAAATTTGAAAATACTCAATTAACTATCTTTCTCGACATTTCTTTCTCAAAAGTTTTTTTTTTTTTTGTAATTTTTTAAAATACGTAGGATTAATCATTTCTTTCTCCGCATTTCCTTCCTGAAATTTGAAAACAACTTTAATTAATTCTTTTTTGAAATGTAGTAATTCAAAATCATTTCTAATTAATTCTTTTTTGGAAATTTTGAAATTACACATTTCTTCGTAATCAATTGTTTTTGGAAATTTTTGTAATTCGAAATAATTGAGAATTAATTAAATTATTTTTTGACATTTCCTTTTCGACAATATTTCTAATTAAACCAACAGTACCTCCGAGCCTGTTTTTGCCAACCCTGAATTTCACTGCGCTCCGAGTTTTGCCGAGCCTGGGTACCACTCCATTTTCTTTCTAGGACTCTCACGGAAAGAACAAAAAAAAACAAAAAAGAAAAAAAAGTTGCGGCCGTGAACCTCGGAAAAGAAGGAAAAAAAAAAAAAGGAAACAAAGCTTTGGCCGTGATTGCAGTTGTATACATTCTTGGAAGTGGTAGTGTGAGTGTGCCCTCAATGAGGGCATCTCAGCCCCGTGGCCAGGTTGTCAGATTCTGAAAAGAATAAAAGGGGAAAAAAACGTGCACATGGATCCGGCCGTGAAAATGGCTGGATACATTCCCCTAAGTGGCAGTGTGATGAGCCTTACAATCCTTCGACAAAACACAGCTTGAGCAGATCACGGACAGCTTGAGCAATTCACGGACAGGGGACTCATAAGAAACACACCACCCAGAAAAAAAAGAAAACAGTAACATTCAGAATGTGACCGCCTTACCTGTAAGGTGCATTCTGTGGAGGAAGATTGTGAGCACGGCCTCCTGGACTACCCAGCCCAACATCATTGCAGTAGAGAAAGCATTTTTTTTTTCCTTTTTTCCGTTCACTCGCGGCACTATAAAATTCAGATTTATGGGACATTGCCGACCCTGTGTCCCACCCCCGAGAAGTTCTGGTACTGGCCAAGACATCTTGATTCCCAACTCTTTTTCAATTTTCTTTTGAAAACTAAGAACTTTGAAAACAATTCTGACTAATTACTCTTCGAAATTTTTGAAATTCAAAAATATTTTCGTTCGAATTAATTCACGACTGAATTAATCTTTTTTCTCAGAATTAATTATTTCTTTTTGTTTGGAAATTCTTGAAAATTTTGCTTTCGTATTTTATTGAAAAATACATTCTCGAATTAATTTTGAATAAATCCAAATTAAATTATTCAAAATTAATTTTTGCTTTGCGATTCTTTGCTACCTTCATTGCTAAATCACTTGATGACGCACTATTGTAAATAGGAATTGTCCCCCCCTTCTCCACATGCCACCACGCCAAACCAAGACCTCCTAACACACCGTCGCCGTTGCCGTTGCTGCTGCCGCCGCCATCGCTGCCGCTATCACATCCGCTGCTACCACCTCCACAACTCATTCCTCCACCACCTCGCCTTCGTCCTCTCCAATGGTTGAAAGTGCTTCAAGCCTCAACATGAGCTCTCTCCGCGACGACTCCATGGCAGATATCCACCACAAACTCGTTGGCCAACAAGTCATCGGGGAGAACAACCCCGC